AAAATGTGGTTAGAGTCACCACCGATCATTTTAAAAACATTTAGGTAGATCGGACACCATCTTACCTGATCTGCGTTTTACCAGAAATGTGTCGGATTCGGGAGTCGATTACGGTCAAGGAAAGATTAGCACCCTTGAACCGCCCTTTCGATACCAATTAATTTGTCGGTTATCTTTAATTGCGAAAATTAAAAAATTTAAATTGAAATTTTAAAAAAATCTGATTCGAATTACTTACCTTTGATCGAATGAAATTACCTTAAAAAGTCAAAATGTTAGATAAGAAATAATAAACGAATATTAAATAAATCAAAAGGAAAAAATAAAATAAAAATAAATAAATAAATACTAGATAAAAGAGGGGGAAACGATTTGAAACAAAAAAGTTAAAAAATCTAAATTTTAAAGGAAAACCATAAACAAATAAATAAATGAATAATAAAAAGAAATAAAAAATGTTAATTTAAAATGAAAGAAAAAATAATTGTTGCTGAAACATAATTATAAATGTAATATAGGTGGGAACCACTTAATAACACCATTGGATTCTATTTTCGTTAAATTTCAACAAAACAATGCATAAACTATTTCAACAGTAAAAGTTTTGACTAAAGGGATTAAAATCACATTCCTAACAGTAGCAATAGTGTACAAAATTAATAATTAAAATCATTAATATAAATATGATTAAAAGGAAATATGGATCATATATAAAACTCGAAATAAATAAATAAAAGATAATTAATTAACTAGGATGACCCGATTACAACCATTGCAACACTACAAGGACTTAAGCTAGATATTAAGTAAAACCACCGGTCAAAAAATATATAAATACTAAAATGACTATAAAAATAAACATAAGGGACTAAAACGAAATAGTAAGAAATAAGAGGCTCAAAACCGAATAGAGTAAAATATAAGTGAAGACCAAAGTAAAAATATCACAAAGACCAAGCTTTTCTCGCATAAATAAACTCCTGACAATGATTTTTGGAAACCCTAAAACACCCAAAACACAACGTTTAAAGTAGATTTAAATACCCCATTATAAGTTTTTAGGGAAAACCTAATATCACTTCCATTCCTTCTCTTTTCTGCCGCTCTTCCTCCCCCTCTCAAGTTCTCTCTTTTAAACTAAAGCAAAAATCAAGAAAACCAAGGGCTTAGAGCATCACCTTCGAGGACGTACGGTCCGCTTGACTTTGGAGAAGGAAATCGAGAGCTATCCCCCCTCAAGTAAGGTTCTTTCAATCTTTTTTATTTTAGAACCCGAAATAGATTTCACTCTCTTCGTTTTTTTCAGTTTCCTCTATTTTTTTCTGTATTTCGTATATAATCTCTCGTATTTTCTCATGTATTTTCTCGCTATTTTTTTCGTGTAATTTCCTCTCTCCCTGTTTGCTTACAAGCATGTTCATTTATAGTCTAAAAAGACTATTTTTAGTCCCGATTTATTCGGGTTTTTGACTCCTAATGTGACTGAAATACATTGTTTGTTGGTGATGGTTTCACATATCGCCGTGGGGCCGAGGAAATCAGCGTTGGTTGCGTGTGACGTGAGGATCGGGGGTTGACCGAGTTATGGTGCTGAGGAGGCGAGTGAGAAACGGCTGGAAGCAAAGTGTGGAAACCCTAACTGATTCGGGTTACTGTACTGGGTTTGCTCCAGACGGGTCACGGGTTTCAGGCCATCAACGGGTTGCGCGTGTAATGCTGGGCCTTGGGTTTGGTCCTGCAAACAAAAAAGAAAAATATTAGCGTAATAAAAATTTATATATAATAATATATATACTATATACTCTTGATTGGTCCGAAAATTGGTGTCTACACATATGAAAGAAAAAGATTATTGTAAGTTTACTTTACATGCTTATTACATAAAATACTCGATATTGATCTTTTTATATTTTTATGAGAATTTATATTAATTAATATCTTCCATAATTATATAATGACTACTTAATCTAAATTGTGAATAGATTAAGGGCAAACCAAATGTATTTAACATAAGAAAGTTTATGTGTCTAATGTGGAACTATGATAATAGTCGTTGTTAGTGGGTGGTCGTGTGACGCTAGACAACAACTATACATGGTGATATAAAAGTATATGATAAAAGTTGTGCTAAAATCACATAGTAATATAATATGAGAAATCGTAATAAAGGAAGAAAAAAATATGATAACTGGTTAAGTAGTTATGTATGAGTAGTAATATATTATATTATAAGGATTAATCGAATTATTTTTTTAGGCAGTGTTAATTGTGATATGAAATAGTATAGACCTGCTGAATAGTCACAACAAACCAAATTCGATAAAATTGGAAATTAAATATTTCATTATGATTTTATGTGTTTAAATAGTTTAATAGTAATTGCTAAATTTGGAAGTTTTGAAAGAAGCAAAATTTTCATCTGCTTGAAGTAGGAAACGTAATACAAAAACAATGCGACATCCTTAACTTGTGTTCGGGTTCGAATACGGGTTAAGGGTGTTACATAATGTGGAGTAAAAAAATATGATATAAATGAATTCTTATATATTATAAATTTTAAAAAAATAAATTGAATTGAATTGGGTGACCAAAACATAACAAAAACTTAAGTTTAGTGATGATTTTGAAGAATCAAATAGTTGGGTAACTCAAACAGAACCACATAAATAGTTAAGTGACTAAATATGTAATTTACCCACGTATTTTTTAACGGAGTTAACATTTTGGGGAAAATGAGTTGACAATTTAAATTTTAGGTGGCAAAACGTCCCGAAATCTTTTTTAAGGGACAACTAGGTACAAATAGTATACTTTAGGAGGCAATGACGCATTTTAAGTCATAAAGTATACTTTAGGAGACAATGATGCATTTAAGTCATAAAAAATGATAACATACCAAATGATATTACACTTTTTTATGAGTAATAAAAATAAATTTTAATGATTAAAATTTTCAATATTATAAATTAGTAATTAAATTTATTGAATTATTATAAAATGATTCTTGCGATATTATATACAATAATAAATATCGATAAATTTAATAATTGTTTTATAATAATTTAATAAATTTAGTGACCATTTTATAATAGTTTGATAAATTTTACAGTAAATTATACAAATGATCAATAAAATAAGAGTATTTTATTTGTACCATTGAAGTTTCAAAAATTATAAAATGATCACTGACGTTATTATTTCATAACAAATCAATCATTCAATTATAAAAAATTGATATGACACGTTAGACTTGATATTGTTTGATCATATTAGATCGCGATTAATTAAACCTTTTTAACTCCCTTAAGAAACCTCTTTAAAAGGTTTTCAATTTCTAATCAAACCATAATCTCAAATAAGAGAGAAGAGTGAATAAGAAGAATTAAAAAAGGATTATGATACGAAAACTCTCTGTCGTTGAAACCACGGGCTCAGCCACCATAATTTGCACTGATAAAACTGGCTCTCTTACATTAAACGGAGATAAAGGTTACTGAGTTTTGGCTTGGGAAAGAATCTATTGATAATTTTCTTAGTATTGGCAAGATCATCACAACAAATTAGTATTTAAACACTCATATATTTTCGTAATTATAACTTGATCATCAAATTATTATTTTTAAATCATGACTAATGTTAATTTTGATTCTGTATTGATCATTGATCGATAAAAAATTAATAATGATGTTGATATGTGACCATAAGATAATATCACATCAATAATTATATTTATTTTTAACAACAAATGATTATTTAAAAATAATAATCACTAATCAAAATGTAACGGGATCTATAATTTGAAAATAATATTTGAATAATCATAATAAAATTACGAGAAAAAACAAATAAATAAGCATGTAATTGACCCTTTTCATTTTCCGAAAAGAATCCATCGTCATGGGCACTGGCAGATGGGCTGACGTCTACTCTTTTTTTTTTAAATCTAAGATAAATATAAAATAATATATATTCAAAGATTTTTAAATCTTTAACTATGAATATTTATACCTATATATATATATATATAATACTCGAATTCAAAACTTCAAAAAATAACATCAAATATCTTGACCATTGATCCATTGATATCACTTGATCCGTAGGAACCGGTCTCTACTCACCCCAAATAGCAGGGGTGCTTCATCCATCCTAAACCTACATCAAAGTTGTATATGCATATTTTATTCGACATGGTATAATTATATATATATATATTTGTTAATTGCTCTCTCATTTTCTTTTCACCATGCAAAGTCTAGATTTTAGATTCAGAAATTATGAGACGAGCATAAAAAATCTAGACGCAATGTCACGACAACTTTAGATTCTCTGATATGCTAAAAAATCACGAAGAGGTTGAAGAAAACATACATTGAAGTGAAGAGAAAAAGGAGTGAACCAAAAGGGATGGGTCTGACTCGCGATGAGGGGGGGGGGGGAATCGGTGACGGAGGTTGAAGAATTGCATTTGCTTCGTGGACAATGAATCTATAAGAGAAATTGACGGGTTCGAAAACAATTCGAGAATCTTTTAACAGATCGGATCAAAGCTTAGAAAGAGTTTGAATTTTCAACAATCATTCAAAACCAGAAATTGGAGAAGAAGAAGAGGAAGAGTTGGAGCCAAAACCAATCTGATTCCACAGCTCTACAATTTATGGTTTTAAAACTATTTACAATGCTTCAAATTTCATCAATACTACTTCCCCACAATGATATAAAGGAGTTTCACTACAAACATTTACAAATCCTTTACCTAAAGAGCACATCACCCAACTGCTTTACTCTTTTGATGTTATATGCATCCCCCAAAATATGTAACTTAAACCCATCTACATCTATTCGACATTCCACACCGATTATGCTAAAACAAGGTGTAGTTGAACGGTATGCGGTGTACTAGAAAACTTAAATAGAGTTAGTTCGATTTACCTGTAATGCATCGGCTACTAGCAGAAGTTACCTAACGATTTGAGATTCACATGCCAAGAGAAGACTAGAAACTTAAAAATGCAACAAGCTCTCTATGCGGCCGACAATCTAGCGTATGATTACTAATTGCCTAAATGTTACATCCAAACCTCGAAAGTGATTCTAACTAAAGCTTAAAACAAGATAGAAGTTTTCAACTACAACGTAAAGGGGAAACGAAACTTAAAGCAAATGATAGCAGGAGAAGCACTAGGTTCTCCAAGCAATGGATCAGTCTACTAGGTCCTTGGATCTTCTAGATAGTGCCAACTTCCAAATGTGCACAGTGCCTACCGAACCATGTGACGGTCAATGCTGAAAATTTTGAAAACCTGGGCCAACACCTATGGAAGATCTTAATCATGCTCTACCTTGAGTAAGGATGATAGCGACTACTGCCTCTGTATCCTGTTCTACTACCATACACCGGACCACCAAAACCAGCACCTAGGCCTGAATCATAACTACCACCTGAGCCTGAGCCACCGTAACTTCCATAGCCGCCACCTCCGCGTCCATATCCACCTATTCCACTCCCACTAAGCCCACCACCATACGAACCAAAGCGGCTAGAATAACCAAATGATGGATCTCCACGATAACCATAGAAACCACCACCACCACCAAATCCCCCATAACTACCACCAAAATCAGCAGCAGCAGCACCGTAACCACCATAATCTCCAAATCTACTGCCATAACCTCCAAAAGATCTGTGAGGAGGACCATCACCACCAAAACCGCCATAATCACCAAATCCACCAAAACCATCATTGTATGATTGTGCACTAGATTCACTACCGTATGCAGGACCAGGTGCTGGGTTTGAGGCTTTCTTTGGTTCAGTCTTCTTGACTTCAACCTACATCAAAGAAGTAAGTCAATCTAGGCATCCTTCGCAAGTAAACCATCTCGACAGATCCCTTGAGAAGAAAAGACTTAGTAACAGCAATGAACCTGAGCGGCTGCGCCAAACTCAACTAAATTGAAAGTTGAAAAAGCATTTCTTAATACCAACAGAAGTTCCGACTCAAGAAAAACAATAATCGTTACTTCCGTCCAAAGAGTTTGAAATGCCACTTCGAATTGTTTCTCTGCAAATAATATATACATATCTGTTTACATCAGATTGTGCACTCACCTGAGTACCCTCCATATCTATCATGTTTCCATCGGCCAGCATTTCATCGACCACCTTTTCACTGTCAAATACGATAAACCCGAAACCTCGAGATCGCTTGGTTGCATGGTCACGTATTATCTCATGTTCCACCACATTTCCATACTTCACAAAGAAATTCTTGAACTCATCTAGGGTTCAAACAACAATGAAAATGAAAAAAAAATAACTAAACGATATTTACCAGTAAAAGAATCAATAAATACAATTACAAAAATAAAGTATAACACTCGATGTAAAAAAAACGTGTATAATCAACTATTAGACCTTCAGTAACAGATGTTGGAATCCCACCAACAAATATTTTCTTGGTCTTGAAGTCATTTGAATGCGAAGAACCTTTAGGGATGGTTCTTTTAATTTCAACCTGCACCAAAAAAAATAATCCATCATACAATATTGTGATTCATAAACACTTAAAACTTCAAAAGTCTCACAAAATCAATCCAACTTTTCATTGAAAATACAAAAATTAAAATAAAGCAAATTCCACCCTAACAACACAGCCCTCACTTGTTAAGCATAACACTACAGAGGACTAACGTTTAACTCGTTCTTCCATTTACCGCAAATAGCACTAGGAAGCTTAGCACTAGACACATACTCATCCGAAACTCGTACCTAGAGGTGAGTATTAGATTGAATCTGAGTAAAAATAAAATTGAATTTAGTTGGTTTGATGAGTCTTATTTTATAAATCAAACTTTATTTGAATTTTTTGGAGCCGAGTATATGAAATTCGAGACAGGTATAGTTTTTTTCCTATAACCATATACAATATACATATATCATGCATAGTTGAGAGACTCCACTCCAAACTGAAAACCATATAATGATTACATATTACTAAAATTTTCAAATTTTTAGAATTCATTTGAAATTAAGAGTCGAGCCAAATCAAGCTTTTCAATGTTCAAATTTTTCCAGTCAAGTCTTGCTCACTCCTACCGGTACCCGAACCCGAGCAAAATAGCTAAAGAACCCAGCACAGCAGAATCTTGAAATACAACAACAAAGGTATTTTAACAAGAAAGGTTGAGGTTTTAGCTTGCTTGTTTGCCATTAATAACATGATCCTCTTGCATAACAGTGTCAACAACAGAAGGATCCGCAAAGGTAATGAGCCCGAAACCACGAGGCCGACCCGTATGCCGGTCTTTCATTATAACAAAATCTGTAATCTCCCCATACTTTTCGAAGTACTTTGTAAATGTCTCTGAAACCAAAGCAAAGTTTAGTAATTGAAGAACACCCATCAAAGGAAAACAAACAGAGTGAAAAAAAGAAGAAAGAAAGCTCGGATCACCTAGAGACGTATCCTTAGCTAAGCCTCCGATGAATATTTTCCTGAACAAGAGTGGGAAAACAATTAAATGTCAAGAAATGTTTGGAAAGAGAAAACAAAGAGCAGAAGAAGGGTATAAAGTTGTAATACCCGGGGCTAGCACCATCATTGTCATTGCCTCTTCTGGAAACCATGAAAGCTATGATTCTGAGAACTATGGAGGTCAAAGAGAGGCAATAAAAGGGGGGCTAGGGTCTATAGATAAGCCGGGTTAAGAAATTGAATGGAGAGGCGTACCACAAATAAAATCAGAAATATATAAGATAAACTACATCAAGTTAAGTACCGCAAATAAAATCAGAAATATATAAGATAAACTACATCAAGTTAACTTAGATCCATTCGTTTCACTAAAAAAAAAATTTCGGAAAATAAAATCCAAAAAATGAATTATATTTCAGGAAAATATTTTTTTTAGTGTTTTGATAGTACATTGTAAAATATTTTACACTGTTTGATTAATTTTTCTAAAAACAGTTTTCAAAATCTGTTTTTAATAAATAAACATACATATTCGATATATTTTTATTCTTTACCTTAGTTTTAAAGGTTCATTTTATTTTTTATATAATTGTATTTTATAAAATCTGTATTTTTATTAGTACGTCAAATTAAATTATTAGATAATATTAATAATTTTTAGAGGTTCAAATCCTGACATTTATGAATGGAACAAAATGGGTTGAGAATCGTTCTTATAATAGGTCTCTACAAAACCAGATCTAGATTAATCGATTAATAGATCGGATATCAATAATTAATTCAAATAAAAAGGCATACTACCGATGGTGTAAAAAATCATGTGAAACTGATCACATGGTTAAAAGCTCAACTAGAAATTCTAGAAGCACATACTCCATTCTGGAAATACCTACACCCAGAGACCCTGTTTACAATAGTCGTTTATGGAAGGAAACATGATTCAATATGAAGATGGCTAATTACATGTTTGAGAAAAGCTTTTATACAATGTTTGAGATCGCAGATCCAACATATGGTCATCCCTATCTGCTATATATAACGTACGTAGACAGAATAGGCAAGCATTTGATTTGATGAATAAATACAAGCAACATCCCAGTCATGTAAGAGCACAGTATAAATGAAAACATAAACAACTCATCTAATTTTATAGTTTACAAAAATATCATTACAGATCCCTTCTGCATAATGGACAAGAAGCATGATTAAGAAGCCACTTATCTATGCAAGGAAGTGGAACATGTGATGGCACTGCAGCAAGCTCCTAACCGTTTCTCCAACCTGAAAGAACTGCGTAAAGATAAAACAGAACTTGGATAAGCTTCTTCTATGTTACTCGTTTTAAAATCGAATATATATATGGTTGGACTTGGACCTGAAGGCAAACTGAACAGGAAACTTTCTCCCCATAAGCATCAACAATGTTATTTTGAGTGATTATGATCTTTGGGATTTTTTCAACCAAATCCCCTGTCAATCCCTTAACATCGTCGGTGTCTAAGATATTCTGGACCTCCTCAAAAGCTGTTTCAGCAGCTCCCATCTGATAACAGAAAATGAATATCATAAGCAAAATGTCATTTGATAGAACCATCACTTTGTGGCAAACAAACCACTATCCTTTACATATTACCTGACTTTGGACTGCACTCAACATCGAGGGACCAATTCGTTCCCGGACAAGTCTCCCGCTTAGAAGGCTTGCAATGACATCAATTTACACAAGTTGCAGGGAAAATAAGTTTAGATCAGCCAAGATTTTCTTTTATATCCCTGTTTTCATTGACATAGAAACCAGCAACCAAATTAAACCAGTGAAATCAGGATAACAAACAAAACTGCTCACCAAATAGAGCAAACATCCTATCATGGGTTCATCAGACTGCCAAAGAACAAGAGAAGGTTCAAAAACTTCGATAGAAAAAACCGCTTCAGAAATAGCCCCGACCGCAGCCCCTCGGAGGAATCCGCTCTCCGTCTCTTGTCCTATCAAAGCCCCTGTCATGGCCCCTAATAGGGTGCCCACTGCACACATAAAATGTCAATCTTTTCACCAATATTTGACTACATCAAGCTTAATCTCAGTCTCAAGCATTAATTGTAGGAAACTAAACAACATTGTCATTAACTCTAGGTGTATTTTGGAGCTAAATGTAAGAACAAATTCATCCAAAAATTGCTTTGTCTGCTAGCAAAATACTTTCACAGTATTGTAATCCAACAAAATTAGAATAGCAACAAAATTTGATTTATCTCGAATCCACATAATATCATACTTGGAGCAAAACACCAATATGAAAACTCTAATTTAACAAGAAATCAAATTCAATTTATTGCAGTATGGACGCTTTGAATGAAAACAAAATTATATTAAAAAAATAGATCTGCAACGAGAAATCTAAAAAGCTTTAATAGAAATAATGAAGCAAAACAGAGAAGATGAGAGAAAGAAGGCGAAACTGCAAAAATCTTTAAGCTTTTCAATGGAATCTCCAAGCAAAGAAGGCGAGGACCGAGGTAAACGAGATGGCTACTCGTGAAATTCCATTCCTTTTTCACTTTCTTTCAATGAAATCTCCAAATAGAGGTTATGATGATGTACAACTCGGGGGATTTGTAAAGTAAAAGTAAAAGCTTATATATACTATTATTATACGAGAAAGAAAAACTAAAAAAAAAAGTAGAAGAATAGGAAAGCTTATGAAGAAGATGAAAAGGGAGAAGATGAAAAGAGAAATATTTGAGAAGACGACTGCCCGCCTCGTCGGTGAGAAGGAGGCCACTAGATCGCTCGATTTTTCGTGTGGAGCAAGGGATGGAAGAACGAAGTTCAGAATCAGTGTGGAGCAAGGGACGGGAGAACGATGGAAAATGACATACGGATTTTCAAACGATAAGTCATTTTACCGTATTTTCCTTTAAGTTTTCCGTTGACCGTAAAACAAATTACATTGACCTTATTTTTTTACGGAAATCAAACACAGGAAAACGGTCCTCCAACCAAACGGACCTTTAATTATGGAGCAGCCTACTTAAATTGTTTTAAAACATATATTTTTTTAGTCTTAGTTTTCTATTTTTTCTGATTTATTATCTTCCTTTTTTTTTATTATTGGTGACACTAATTTTATTATTAATTTTCTATCGTTAGTATTAATTATTTTTATTTTATTATATTATATTATATTTTTAATTTTTAATAATTATATCTTTATGAGGTATGTTTTTTTATTTTTATGTCATGTTTCTCTCTGTCTTTTGATACATTTTCGGTCGAATTCATTTATCTTTTTTTCTCAGTGTTAGATTTGATATCGTCATGACTGATCAAAATGACATTTATTTATCATCATTTTGATCTTCCTTACTTTAGATCCTCAAATTAAATTTGAATATACGATTTGTGTTTGTGGATAGTTTTCTCATGTCATTTGATTGTAACTTATGATTTATCGATAATCTTTCAATAGCTCAATAATCTTTTTTGATTTATCTATCGGTACGATCAGATCGATTCATATTTACCTTTTATTTTAGTTTATTTAACCATATCTTTTTAACTTTTTCTTAGTATGATCCTTGTATGATATTAGGTGACTAATTTTTTATATTAATGATTATAGGAAAATATTTTTATTATGTATTTAATTTATAGTTATGATCGTAAACATTCATTGCAATTTAGATGTTTTCTATTTTCGATAAAACTAGTACTTCTATCTCATAAAAAATTAATTTTAATTTTCTTTCAAAAATTTATAATCACATCTTTCAATTAAAGATTTATTATGGTAAAAAGAAACTTTCAAGCAATGATGAATATATCTTAAATATTTTTTTATATTTTATATTTATAATTTATTTTTTCTTTAAAGTTTTAATCTGTTTTATGTCGTTATAGTTTGTTTTAACACATTATTTTTTAGTGTAATCACCTATATTCAATCTATTAATGGACTAATCCATATCGAATATTATAGAAGTGAAGGCAACCCCCTCCCAACACAAATTATTCTATTCACAAACGCCAAAATTTAAACCAATAACCTTATTTAAAATATTCCGAGTTTCAAGTTAACACATAATTATCGCTGAGAGATTTCCACCAGAAAAGGGAAGGATGGGAAAATTACAAGTGCAGTGGACAATTGGCAGAGCCGGCCATTAATACTCTCAACTGCGCATACAAACCAAGATCTTTGCTATACATTTAAATAGAAAAAGGAATAAAAACAATTGAAACGAATATCAAAACTAAAGCTGCTGCATGCTTTTGTCCGTGACTTGACATTGTATGTCCGGTCGGCTTAACATGTCAAATTCCGCTGGCGGCAGCGGCAGCGGCTTTTATAAAAGTGTTGGGAACCAGCTGAAGGTAGATATATTTGTCAACAGAACCAACACTGAGCTTAAATATGGCTCGGAGGACAACAGTGAGCATCCACCCCCCTTCCATACTAAAGAAATGAGCAGGCGAACTTGCTTGATCATAGTGGAAGGCAGATCTTGCCGACTGATCCGTTGATTTTTTTTTATGGTGATAAAGAACTAGGCCCTGGGATTTATTCATGGTGTTTTTGTGTTGATAAAACCCGACAGCGCTGTAATACAACCACAAAGCCTGTCACTTTAATTAGTTCGAAATAAACAAATTCATTCCAACTAACTAACACAGCCATGGTTAAAAGAACCATACCAGCAGCTTCGGGTTTAGTTCAATGGATCATAATCATAGGCATCACCGGCTTTCACAAAGCGTTCCTTCACACGCTTTCTCACATCCACCCTTGCTTTGCGAGATGCATATCTCACTCGCTTCTCAAACCTATCATACAACAAGGACAAAAGCTAAAACGTATAAACTCCTCCAATACGTGGAATAAAACATCAAGACCAACAGTTTAGATTTTACATCAACTTTCTCAATGGATTTTTGATAAAATATACACAGATTACTAGAGAACACCACACTGAAATGAACTCCTTCAATGGCAGGAATAGCAACTAAAATGCAGTATTTAAAGATTACGATATCGAGAAACAACTATACTGCTAAGAACACACATGTTAAAATGCTTTCAAATTATTTGGAATCGTCAAGACAGTTCTGCTGCTCCTTGTATAAAATTGCACAAAACTATGTTGATACTTGAAGGCAAATAAAAAAGGTCCAGGTCAAGAAAAGCTAGAAACTGTAGCAGACAAACAAGAATCAAGACATGATATTCAACATAGTTT